AATCCATTGCCAAATCTTGTTATTTCTACCTTTATAACATCTCTCTTATATATACACCCTTCCATTTACACACCTACCACCTACTTCAAGCCTTCATCACCTCTCATCTCAGCTATCATAATGCCCTAACAGTTAATCTCCCTGCCACAAGTATCTCCTTCCTCCAAACCATCTTCCAATCTGCTGCCATGGTGGTATTCCAAAAGCATAGATCTGACTACATCACTCTTGTGGTATGACAGCAGTGTCCTGATGCAGCTCCCTTTACCCTGATGCAGCTTTCTTACCATACACAAACCCCACACGACTTCTTTTGGTTCCATCTTCCCTAATAACTTCTCTGGTAAAGCTTCCTTCCCGCACAAAATCTGACTGGCTCCAGCTTCTCTGATGTGGCTTCCTGACTTAGGGCCAATAAAAAGCTTAAGCCATGTGGGCTCTTGGCCTCTCAAATGTGGCCCAGTATTATGCAAGTCACTATACCTGATGACTGACTGATCAGATGGGTTTCCAGATACAGCTGAGGGGGGACTGTGTCCAGAGAAGCTATGTGCCACAGTATCCTTGTTGAATATCCTTGCTATGTTAGGGCTAAAGAAACTTCCTCTGTTCTTAAATGTTCACTGACTCATTTCTTCACAACATCAAAGCTGAACTAAGAGCCATGCCTACAACTCCTCTACTCAATTAACTCCAGTAGCTCCCCATTGCCCTCAAATATAAAGTCCTCAGTTTGACATTTAAAGCTCTTAATGATCTAGGGCCCTCCTACCTTTTCTGCTTTCTTATTTTTCTCTCCTTCACATATTCTAAAATCCAGGTACAGTGGCCTATTTGCTGCTCTCAGCACAATACTCCATCTTTCATCTGTATGCATTGGCTGCCTTCCCCCTCCCCCAGCCAACACTTAAAAAGCTCTCTTTCTTTACCTATGCCTTTTGCCTTTTAGTTTCCCTAACTTCCCTCAAGTCTCAGTTCAAATCTTGTGTTCTACATTAGGCTTTTCCCAGTTTCTTCAACTGCTAATGTCTTCCTCTTTGAGAATATCTACATAATACATAATAACATCTACTGTGTAAATTTCTTGCATGTACCTAGTTATTTACACATTATCTACCCCATTGGTTTGTAAGCTCCTTAAGAGCAGGGACTGTTTTTTATCTTTCTTTATATCCCCACTGTTTAGTATGGTGGCTGGAACAAAGACTTAATAATTATTTTTTGTTGAGTTATAGCCTAATTTTATATCCAGATATTTTTAGGTTTGACCTTTATAATTATACTATTTATGATTTGTGAATGAATGAAAAAGCATTTATTAAGCACTTTCTATGAAGAATCAACATTTTCAAATTGTGGTACTAGAGAAGACTTTTGAGAGTCCCTTCAACAACAAGGAAATCAAATCAGTCAATACTTAAAAAAATTAATTCAGGCTATTAACTGTTAACAGAATTTTAAATGTAGTCCTGACAGAACCAACCTCTAACCTGTAAATAGCTGGAGCTGCACAAAGCAGGCTAGAGACAGGAATGCCAGAAATCAAGTAGTGATTTAATTAATTACTTCCATACTGGAGAATGTAGTATGCAGACTTTTATAGTTCTCCTGAGAAGGAGGGCTCCACATACTGGAATGAAGGCACAGTTTATATACATAAATCACAAGTGAGAAAGGAGGGGAAGGTAGATTACCACACAATCATTTCTAGGGCCTGAGTGGTTTCCCATGACAAGCCCACAAATACAGGACAATGCAAGTGTTCTTGAATCTTGTGGGAACAATTCTCAAGTTCATCATTTCAAGTCTTATGGGTCGTTACTTGGTGGGGTACAGAACCAGAGTTCTGTGATGGGAACAGGTTCTACATTCTTTGATTCACTTCACTTAACATTCACAGGCACAGTACAAGCACAGGAATGTGAGAGTGATTAATAATTCTAAGTTGCATTGTGAATCTCTGACTCCCAAGTGAGAATCTGCTGGTGAAATAGTGGCTCTGAAAAATCTAAATTATTATTATATTCATAACACATATCATACCGATTAATATGAAAATAATAAATCCCTTCATATCACTGAAAAGTCAAATACTGAAGCTGAAGCTTAAATACTTTGGCCATATGATGAGAAGATGGGACTCACTGGAAAAGACCCTGATATTGGGAAAGATTGAAGGCAAAAGGAAAAGGGGACAGCTGGAAACAAACGAACATGAACTTGAAAAGACTTTGAGAGATAGTGGTAGATAGAAGGGCCTGGTATGCTATGGTCCATGGGGATACAAAGAATTCTTCAAGACTGAACAGCTAAACAGCAAATGTACCAAGCCCTATGTTAAATACCAGGGATACAAATAAAAATGAACATCAGTCCCTGCTCTCAAGAAAGTTGCCTCCTAATGGGAGAGGACACTTATAGGAGAATCATGCCTAGGGAAGGGTATTTTGATCAAGAAAGTTATAAGTATACTGAGTAGCACAATAAGACATTCAATTGTTGCACCCTTTCTGGAAGCAATGGTAGTATTGATATGTTCACTGTCTTCAGAGCAAGAGGTAGAAAATAGGAAAGAGGGTGCTATGAACATGGCAGCATAGCAGAGAGATGATCAGGGTGAAGCATGATAAGGGGTCTAGAGGTGGCTAGCTAGAGTGGGCAGCCCCCAGTGTTAATAGTGTAGATAAGATCCTCTATTTAACAGGTTTTAGACAAAGTTGTTTTAGAGGACCTTATAATAGAAGTTGAATACACATAGTGCTAATATCAAATGAGTTTAAGTATTTGCTAAAGGAGGCCCTTCACAGAACTTCATGTCTTTAAAAAACATTTTCATTAATTTGTATAGGACTTCCCTCCAAATAATAAGATTTTAATGGAAAATACTTTAGAGGAAAAATATAATACTGTATATTAAAATTTTAATGGCATAATTATTGTTTTACATTTGTATTATAGAACACCTTTTCCCCATACCACCGATGGTAATGGGTTTTGTTTGATGGGAAGGGGAGGCATTACTATTGGAGTTAAATCCTTAAAGGTAAATTGTATCTGGGCAAGTGACTATAATTGACCTATGGTATTTAGACACTATGCCACCAGGTGGTTTGGTTGAATTAAAACTACTTTGGGGAGAGGGAAGGGAGGATGGGTGTAGGTGGTCCATGTACCTCAATCAGTTGATGAATTGATTCCCTGCTGCCCCACCTCCAAGCCCAGTTGATATACTAACAGAAAATATAACAAAGACAATGATGTGTTAAAGTTTTAAACAGAGTATGCAGGAGGACTCATATTCTTTATTATCCCTTGATGAGATATACATTTGTATTCAAGTCTGATGGTTTTAGAAGGGTAGCTTGCTATTGGCTGGCCCAAGATCAGCCTGTCCTTGTGTGGCCCTTAAATAGCCAGCTTGCCAGCTGTGGAGACAGAAGGAGGTGCAAGAAGTGTGATCACTGGCAGTCTATAGGAGAATCAGGAAGGAAGGAAGGAAGGAAGGAAGGAAGGAAGGAAGGAAGGAAGGAAGGAAGGAAGGAAGGAAGGAAGGAAGGAAGGAAACAGGCATTTATTAAGTGCCTACTATGTGCCAGGCACTGTGCTAAAGGTTTCATAAATATTATCTCATTTGATCCTCACAAAAACTTAGGGAGGTAGGTGCTATTATTATTCCCATTTTTACAGTTGAGAAAACTAAAGTAAAGAAGTAACTTGCCCTGCATCTCATAGCTAGTACCTCGAATCTTCCTTAGTGTTCTAGCCTGGCACTCTATCCACTGTACCATCTAACTGCCTGAAAAGAATAACCCCTATAGGCAGTGAGTCAACTATGGATTCAAGGGAAAAGTCCTGGAAGATGGGAAGCAAGCCCAGATGTTCCAGCTGAGTAACCCACCCAGCCTGAGGACACTACAAAAAGAGAGAGGACATCAGAGTACTGAAATGCCAGAGGCAAGAGTGGACTTGACCACGTGTATTCTCTCCACATGTGCTTCACAACCAGTGTACTAAAGTTTGTGCCTGTTGTTCCCACTGTCACTATTTGTATTTATGGGACAGCAAGCCCAGGGCTTTTAGGGGGAATGTCTTGTTGGTGCTATTATTATTATTCTGTCTTAGGAAATGTGTGCCTGTTTTAAGCTATAGCTTGAGGAGTAAGGACCCACAGAATTACTTTGAGTCTGGCACCCCGATCTATAACCTTTTAGCATGCACACTGGTGGCATGGAATCTTCAGAGGCAGTGCTACACTAGCTGCCAGCCATCCAGTAGGAGTTGAAAAAGTTTAGCATAAGGTGATGATGATTTAACAAGTTAAAGAAACAATTTGTATACTATTTTTTTAATTTTTAAGAATTGCAGGGTTTTTTTTAAACTTGTGGTTCCTTTCAGCCATTGAGTCCATTGCTTTGCCACTCATGTACATAAACATGAGAGCTCAGACCAAAGTATTTTCTTCCTTTTCAGTGAACAATGGTAAGAATCTGAGTTAGTTAAGATTTTCAGGAAAGTCAATCTATTGCTATAGCAATGGATGCTGTATATTTTTAGATTTTTATCAAGTCTACTATCCAGGTTATTGATTAGAATTGGGTTATTTTTATAGCATTTTAATTCCTTGAAATATCAGAATCTGTGTTGAATTATTTTTTATATTCTCATAAGATTGTGTTATTATACTGGCTCTTTGTACCTTCTGCATCATGGAAAACCAGTAATAAGAGCTTACCTTTGCAAAGTGCTTCAAATACAGTATTTTGGTTCATTTTTATTGACTAATCTATAAGTGAGGTAGTCCTAATATTATTAGTCTCAGTTTTCCAGATGAGTTAATTGAGAATCAGAATGCTTGTGAACTTCCTAAGGTCACAAAACTGATAAGTGCAGAGCTTGGATTTGTACCTAGGCCTTCTAACTCAAGTGCTCAAGTATTTTTAAAATTATTATTATTTCATACTTTCAGCATCTACAAATTGAATTTTTTTTTATTCTCATAGGACATCTACTGGGACTATCTCATGATGATTCTAAATTTTGTGAAGAAAACTATGGCTCCATGGAAGATAAACGCTTAATGTCTTCCATCCTAACTAGCATTGATGCTTCCAAACCCTGGTCCAAATGTACGTCAGCAACCATTACGGAATTCCTGGATGATGGTCATGGTATGTATTGTTTCAGTTCAAACTGTATATAAGATCAACCCATTTAGTTTCTCATAAGCATTGTATTATTTTATATCCATGTAATTTGAAATTTTCAATAAATCCAATTTGAGTTAATCATTACAATAAATGATAATGGAGGAAACATAAAATACTAACCTCACTAGTTATATAATGATGATAATTTTACTTTTAAAGTGGAAAATTTGAATGGAATCAGTAAATACCTCAATATTCCTTTGAAAGCCAGGATTTTATTCTCATCTTCACCACTGTCTTCCTTTGAGAGTTTTTACAGATACCAGAGAATCACATAAACTAAAAGTTGTTAGGAACCTTAAAGACTGTGTAGCTCTACTCATATCTAAGCAATAATTAATTTTATAGCATCACAGGTAAGTGGTCATTCAGTGTCTGTTTGAAGAGTTCCTATGAGGTACTTAATATATATATATATATATATATATATATACACACACACACACACACATATAGATATAGATATACATATAATATATATATATTCATTAAATTAAACTGAAGTCTAAATAAGCCCATCAGTAACTTTGTTTTGGATATGGTGTGTCAACAGTTCTGGTACTTGTCACTTAGCCCACATCTATCCATTGCAACACATGCCCTGAAGCTACTATCCCAACTCCTACCCACAGTAATGAACAGAGTCTCAAAAGTGTGGCTATTAGGTCCCCTCATTACTCAAGGGGTGCCTTTGAAAGGTTGTAGGGTATTTTTTTTCTAATGCCATGTAGCTCAAGTTCCCACCTGTGTACTTCCATCTATAATCATCATTCAATATCAATTAGTCAACCAGATTTAATTAGATTTTAGAAAGAGGTATTTACTAAGTTGTTAGTAAGTGAATTACTAAGTAAGTTACTAAGAGCATCAGTAAAAAAAAATATTCACCTACATTTCCTTAAAAAAAAAAGTCTGTAACATACTCTCCCACAAATACATAACAAGTCCAGGAGAAAGAAGAATCAAGCTTAGAGTACACATGGAGCAAAAGGGTAACGCAGCTCCTGGAAGTCCTTTTCCTGGATTCCACAAGATATTCCCCTGTGTGTGGTGTAGATCTTCTGTATCAGCTCTTTGTAGAGCCTTGAATCTACATCCAGCATGTCCTTGGCTCCTGATGTAGCCACCACTATCTGCTGATCTGGTCCAGTGACTGCCAGGACACCAATGGAAAGATGAGGCATTCTCCAGATGACCAGAGTTTACAAGGGCCTATTCTAGTCAAGAAAGTAGGGAGGGAGTGAGGAGGAGCTAAACATCAAGATAGAGCCTGGGGCTCTGAGAGGAGTCAGTTCTTTCTCAGGGATTAAGTAGAAATACATCTTCACTTGCTTAAGTCTCTAAGCTTACTAAATTAGAATAGACTTACTCTCTTACCTATGTTTTATTTTTATTTATTCAAAGAAGTGGGGAGGGGGAAGGGATTGTTCACACCTAGTGAACAAAAAAGATAAGTTCTCACCTAACAAGTGTATCAGGAATAGCATTTTCTCATTTCCTTTAAGTGAGGTTGGGGAACTGATGTTCAGTAGCTTTCCTTTTTTTATACCACCCAGTCCATGATAATGGCACTTTGAAAACATCCAAGCATACTATCTAAAATCTAAGCATACACTGTTACTGATGTGACTTAGAGCTATTTGTCACATATATTATAGTGAACAGATAGAAAACAATTTTGCTTCTCTGACCCAACTGTTGTTAGCTATCAGAATGGTTTAACTCTAGTATGGAAGTCATTTATGGGTATGCCTGTAGGTTGCTAAATTAGCTTCTTTCCTGCCCTCTCCCTAAGAAAAATAAAATGGAAGATTTGCTTTTCAAAATGACTTACAAGAAAGTTTTGTGGGCTTCAAAGAATAGAAATGGAAAAAAAAAAAGAAGCCAACACATAGTTTGAATGATTGCAAACACTTCAAGTTTTCTCAATGAATTTTAGGTTTATCTTGTTGAGTACAAAGGCAGAACAAACCACAGATCTAGAATTGAACAAACCATAAATAAATAAAGAAAAACACAGATCGTTCTCAAGTTCAACTAGAATTTCTGAAAGAGATGAAGCAAGAGATTTTTTTAAGAGCTAAAAAGTATTTAAAAATCAAAGGAGAATTAATGGATCAAAAAATGGGAAGAGAAATTGGAGCTATGGAAAAAAGATATGTAAAGAGAATTAACAACTTGGCATAAGAAGTACAAAACCCTCTTCAAACAACAAAAGTATGAGGGGATGATAGAGAGGAAGACCCAATTAGCAATAATTACTGTGAATACTAATGGAATGACCTTACCTCTGAAACAGAAGAGGATATCAGAATGAATTAGAAACCAGAATCCAACAATATGTAGTTTAAAGAAAAACATTTGAAACATAAAGATTTAGATGGAGTTAAAACAAAAGCCTGGAGCAAAATCTGCCATGCTTCAACTTAATTTTTTAAAAAGCAGAGGAAGCAATCATGATCTCAGGCAAAGAAAAAGCAAAAATAGAGTTAAAAAAAAAGATAAATGGGGGAATTACATTTTCCTGAAAGGTACCATAGACAAGGAATTAATATCAACATTGGACATTTGTAAATCAAATAACATAGCATTTCGATTCTTAAAGGAAAAGCTAAATGAGTTATAGGGAAACTACAATAGTGAAGATCCTAAACATACACCTTTTGGAGCTAGATAGATCTAACAAAGAAATGAACAAGATAAAAGAAAAAATTGAATAGAATTTTTGAAAAGTTAAATATGACAAACCTATAAAAATTGAATGTGAATAAAAGCTTTATGCCTATTTATCAGCTATGCATGATGCCTTCACAAAACTGACCATATATTAGGACATAAAAAACTCATGACAGTGCTATCGCAAGTAGAAAATTTTAAAATATTTTGTAGATCATAATGTATTAAAATTATATTCAATGAAGGATTACTAAAGCAAAGATTTAAAATTAACTAGAGAATAAAACTTGATCCTAAAGAATGGGTGGGTAAAAAAAATCATGGAAACAATAATTTCATTAAAGATAATAACAATAATGAGAAAATATACTAAATTTTTGGGGATATTGCCAAAGCAATCTTAAATGTGTACACCACTAAACATTTTCATCAGTGAAAGAAAGAACAGATTAGTAAACTGTATGAAACTGAAAAAAAAAAGAAAGCCAACAAATTAAAAACCAAAATAGAAATACTGAAAATTCAAAGAAGTGATAAAATGGAAAGCCAAAAAAACCCCAACACATTGAATTAATAAAACTAGGAGCTGTTTGGTTGGGTTTTTTTACCTCAATAAAGTAGATAACCATTGGCTAATTTGATTAAAAAAGGAAGGAAGAAAATAAAATTACCAGGATCGAAAATGAAAAAGATGAATTCACAAACAATAAAAAAGAAATAAAAGGAACAATCAGAGACTATCTTGGCCAATTATATGTCAATTAAAATAACAATCTAAATGAAAAGGATGAATATTAATGAAAATATAAAATGTCAAAGTTAGCAGAACAAAAAAATAGAAAACAACCCAATCTCAGAAAAAGAAATTGAACAAACCATAAATAAAGCCCTATTTTTTAATTTTTTTCTTTCCCCCCCTCAAAAAAATTCTGTTACTGGGTGAATTTACAAGGGAATTCTATCGAACATTCAAAGAACATTTAATTTCAATATTATATCAATTGCTTGAAAAAAGAGGAACAGGTGTAATGCCAAATTCCTTCTATAATACAAATATAGACTTGATACCTAAAACAGGGAGACTCAAAGCAGAGAAAGAAAACTACAGATCAATATATCTAATGAAAATTAATGCAAAAATTTCATGTAAACTATTGGCACAGAAACTACAGCAACATAGCAGAATTATACACTATGACCAGGTCAGAATTATATAAGGAATACAAAGTTGATTCGATAGCAGAGAAACAAATATAATTGAACATATTAGTAACAAAAAAACCAAACATCAACAGAGGCCAAAAAAAATGCTTTTGAGAAAAAGTACCCATTCCTGTTTTAAAAAAAATTACAAGACAGAAGAACAAATTGATTTTTTCTTATTATTATTATGAGTAAAGAATCTTTAGCATGCACAGCTACCATACTCCAGTAAAAACCATCTTGGCAGACAGGCCAAATCAGGTTGAGAGTAACTAGCAGGCCTCAAACCCATCAGTGAGTTAGGGTAGACTGTCTATCTCAAGCATGTGAAGACTTCCCCTGGTGGAATGGGCAGATGAGAACAATTTGTTCCAATGGCCATGAAGGCAGCTAAAGCAGACCCTGTGGAACACTTACAGCTTGGTCAGACATTGAAGATACCAAGGTAATCCATTGTATCCTGGGCCATCACAAGTCATTTTGACTTTTGTCTTACAACTGGATTTTGATGACTCTGGAAGAGGGTGTGAGGCTGATGACTTTGTGCAACTCTGGCTCACTTTATTTCAATTCATGCTCAAGTGAAGACATTACCTCAAGATGCTATTGGTCCCCTTTGAAAACTTATCTAAAATTAAGAGCCTGCATTCTATGTAATAAGGATAAATTAGAGGCTTTTACAGTAAAATTAGGCATAAAGCAAAAGTGATCATTATCACCATTACTATTCAATAGAGAGATAGTAGTGCTAGCTCTAGAAATAAGACAAGAAAAAGAATTTGTGGTACAAAATGACAATTTTTTGCTGATTATACAATGGTTTATTTTGAGAACTGTAGAGAGTCAACTACTAAACACTAAACAACTTCAATAAAATTGCAAGATCTAAAATAAACGCAAAAATCATCAGTACTTGTGTATATGCATTTAACGAATGTTTATTGGATGATTGCATATAACCAACAAAATTCAGCTAGCAGTAATAGAATTTAAATTTCATTTAAAATAATTATAGGAAGTATAATATACTTGAGTGTCTACCTGCCAAGACACCAGGAATGCAATTACAAATTACCCATTTC